GTTCAAAATTCCACATTGATAAGAAAGTGGTATTGGGATGCTAAAGTGTTCATTAAACTTTCTTTTAGGATTGTTCATAGATCGACATAGCTTTGTGTTGCACTGCGATATCTTCAGCGAATAAGAAAAAAAGACGTTGTCACTTTTATTTGCAACTAACTGAATATCATGAAAATACATGAAAAATGGTTTATAAAGAATTTTATTAGTTAATAATACAAAATAATTAAAAATAATAATTAATAAAAAAGTGTAAACAAACAAATATTATAATCGTTTAAGTTTGTCTTATACACGCACTTTTTAGAGAAGTGCATTCTAAAGAAAACTAGAGAACTTCTGACAAAAAATTGTTGAATTTACGCTGAAAATTTTCTATTTTTCGAATTGGCTGCAAAAGAACCGCCAAAAATATTGGTGGATTGTTTCAAATTCATTTTTAAATTAGAAAAAATAACCAAAAACAATTACCATTTATTATCCAGTCAAAAGCGATAGCTTACGTTCACGTAAATTTGAAGTTAAGATCTGTTTAGAGCCCCTTCAATCTCTATATAAAGAGGAGGGCCAGTGAGCAATATTCAGAAGGTAATCAAATGTCAAAGTAGAAAGAGTTAATCATGAAGGAAGAATGATAAGGATTCAGAAGGGAAAGCAATGTTTGGGAAGTATACGTAAAAAGGAACCGAAACCTGTTAATAGAATTGTGTTCTATGAAAGATAAATTTTAAAAAGTCCTCGTGACACCAGTGTTTTGAAATTGACCCCAAATTTTTCAGCTGCTAAGTTGATGCACTGTGCCGCATGAGACAATTTTTCTCTCCAGAATCTATCTTCCATATTTATAAGTCAACCATTCGTCCATGCTTAGAATATTGCTGCCACATATGGTCCAATACCCCTGCTATTTACCTTGAGTTCCTTGATAAAATCTAAAGAAGAATCAGCAATATTATTGGTCCTGATCTGTCGGCTCGGCTTCAGTCACTTTCCCAACGCTGTAAGGTTGCCTCAGGGTTATTTTCTTTTACAAATACTATGGTAATTATTCGGATAAGCTCTTCGCTATAGTAGATTGGCGCCGAGATCTCATCAATTTACATTTGAGTTGTCTAAATGTAACACTAAATTTTATGCTGACAGCTTATTTTCTCGCATTTATCGCTTTTAGAACTCCCTTCCAGCTCCATGCTTTTCCAGCCAACTTTAATCTGCATAAATTTAAATGCAGTGCCAATCGCTATCTACTCTCCTCCTGATTACTCTTTTTTCTTTCCGCTCATTATTAATGTGTCTGTTTTTAATTTTCCCACATCCTTTGACCCCCCCTTGTATCTTAGTGGCTTTACTGCCTTGCATAGGGTGAAACCGATTTAAAAAACAAAACAAAAATATCTGCCTATATTTCTGAGATGAGGTATTATGTACACTATTTACATTATTCGAACTATTGTCCTCATTTTTGTAGCCATATTTATTACAACGTTTCGGCCGTTGTACGCTCCGGCCTTCTTCAGGTGGTTGGAATGTCGAGCTGAATCCTCTGTTTCGCTCACTGTTCGAGTTCCACGTGCCATGTCTAATGGATGCCAGTTATCAGTTATCTCCTCTTAATTCACCTCTCCAAATTCTCCACTGTCTTAACCAGGTATTGAACTCACAACTTTTAAGGGCACATAGCACAGTGGATAAAGGCGTCGGTTAGATCCAGTGACAGGTCCCAATGTGTTATGAGTTCAATACCTGATTAGGGCAGTGGAGAACTTGGAGAGGGGAATTAACAGGAGATAACTCATAACTGACTGAAAACAAAAATACCATCATTCTGGGTTTTTTTCTGCTGTCGATTGGGTGGATGTATCGGGTTACTTCCTCCTAATTTTCGAAATCGCTACTAGGGGACGCTCTCCGACACTATTAATACGCGGCGGCAATTCTTTATCACTCTCTTAATTTTCTGATCTTATCCGTCAACATGTAAGTCTCTCACGGAAAAATGCGTCCCCCTTTGGGAAACGCATGAACAATACATACACACAATGTATGTACGTATATTCACACACTACACACACTTTGCATCCAAAAAGTTTTCACATTAACTTGCTACACACATTATTGTTTATGTCGCTTGTTAATACATTATCATTTGTTTGTACATGTATATCGGTTCTTGTTGCTACTTTACATTTCTTTACGTGGACTCACATCCTGAGTCCGCCATGTTTGTTGTGGGAATTTCAGGAGACACACGTGTTTATCTCTCAAAGCATACACTGATGCAACCTTTTTTTTCCAAAGAGTATTTTCTGCCTTATTCAAAATCTATATTACGTTGTCAAAGTTTTTTTTTTCAGATATCCGAAGATAATTTCGAAATCTTTTCGTTGTAATGACTAAAGTACGTAGGTGTAGGTTTTAAGAAAGCTTTATTCAACTGAGAATACAAGGTTCGCGTATAGTGTCCTTTAATAGTCCCACTAAACAGAAATAGCTCTCTCAAAGAGAAGAGTAACAAAACAAGGGGAGTTCACTCTTTATTATTCATAACAATCATTATACATTTTTGATTTGTTACCTGCCTCACAGTGCACGAAATGACATTTTTATGCAAGCATATCTTGCAAAATATTGTAATTTGTTATATATTATTTTAATGTTTCGTAATAAATGTTTGTTCCTTTTTAAATTTCACGTAATAGATTCGAGTCTGGTTTTCGTATGTGCCATTGATAATGTTCGGAATAAAAGAGGGGACTTTCTCTTTTCATCTTCACCCAAGAAAAAAAAAACTTTCAAGTTTCATCAAAGAACTAAACATGACTTCAATCATGTGGGGGACGGATTTTTAATGACATTACTTTCGTTACTGGTCTTCATTAAAATTATACTATGTGCAAGCACATGAAAAGTCTGTGGTACTAATATTTTTTATTACGTGCCAGTCATAATTTACCGGCAATGTGGTACTCATACTCACCAGGTACTAATATTAGCATTAGTGTATCTATTGATACACTAACACCGGATAAACGGAAATGAAAGACGAGATAAGCGTACATGATTAAAACATTTAATAAGTACGTATTATATTATACTATACACAAATATTACAACGATTCGCATGTGTCCCAAAACAAATTAATGTATGTATTGCTTCAAGAACAAGCATGTCTGAACAGTAGGCCTGGGTACCCTACTTCTGTAATTTATCCCAAGAATCTTCTTCTCATAACAGGAAGAAGCCGGCTCAATCCGCCCAGGGTGAATGCCGCATCAGTACAGTACAGTATGTCTGAACAGACGTAAAAAAAAAAAAGACAAACACAAATCTCTTAGTTTCTCTAGTTTTCCTAGCAATTCCAACGTATATCACCTGAAGAAAGCCAGAGCGTACAGCGGCCGAAACGCCGTGAATATGACAATAAAGATCAGGACAATAGTCCGAACTATGTAAATAGTGTAAATAGTTACAGTACCTCATCTCAGAAATATACGGGATCATTGAAAAGTAACTCCCTATTTTATGTATAATGGACTATTCCGTTTAACTATAATTTTTACAAGACGGGAGAGTCCATCATATATAAAATAGGGAGTTACTTTTCAATAACCCTGTAGACAGATATCAACAAATTCATTTTTTTAATATTAGCCCTTTAATTCGAATAAAACCTTTTGAAAGAACACTGAAGACAAGATATAACAAAAAATGGGTGGTGTAATGGTTAATGAGTCGCAATTGTTAATCGGATTCCAGTTAGGTTCGTTATATTCACTTACACGCAAATACTCTTGGGAAAGGTATTAATCCACCTCTTCCCCCAGCTATGGGTTAATTAATAAGACTTGTATCACTAAACCATTATTATCTTCAAAAATAAAATAAAATTGTGTAGAAAAAATATTTAGATTTCGGCATTAAATAATCCATAGAGGTGTTGATATGCCACTAAGCAAAAATAACTAACCAACCAACAAATGGTGTTAATGCTTTGACAATGTCTCATAGAATTAACGGATGCTTAAGAATTGTCGAAAAATGTCGATAAAACAAGCTAGGGATATTCCCTCTTTGCAACCGTCGGAGAAAGCCATGTATCACAAAAGAAGTATTTTTCGTCCACTTGAGCTCGTAATTCCTAATTTGGTTTTGCGTAATGAATTCGCCCATCTTTTGCCCGTAAAAAAATTGTTCCGTTCAACGTCCTGAAAACGCTAGAATGTAAACAGGAGCGTCTATTCCAGTTGACTAGGAGTAAAGTGGTTCTTGTTACAGCGTCCGACTTCTCGTTGTTCTTTCTGCTTTTGTTTTCCTTTGTCTGAAACTAGACGGTCGTAATCGAGATAATTAGACCGGAATTGTGTCAAGTAACCATGGCGCCAAACTCGCCTAGAAAGATCTAAAACTCTCAGCTGTATACAACCACCTTCTCAGAGCTTATAACAGATAACAAAAACTACATCACTTGAGGACTTTCAATGGCAGCAATAATTAAAATGAGTGACACATTATGCTTGAAGAGAAAATAATGACACAATCAAGATGTTGACGTTCCACGCTACCTCAAACGAAAAGCAAGGAAGGAAACCTCCGTCAATACAGGAAAGATCAGCTACGGGACTTGAGAAACCTATTTTCCTGAAAAATTATTTTAGATAAAAATTTTATAAATTTCAAGCGACAACAGCATTAACTGCTTGGTTAGTGAATGCCGAATGTTTCCTTATAAGGAAAGAGCTAAGAATACCATTACCATACGAGGAAAACAGATACTACACTTTGATTCCAGGCCGATAGCTAAGGAGTGAAGAAAAGCATAACTGGCTGCTGGGTTAGTAAATGCTGAATGTTTCCTTATAAGGAAAGGGCTAAGAATACCATTATCATTTGTTGACAGACGTCTTAACATGGTAGATATGGCAACGGAATCGGAGTTTGAAGGAATTCTATGTTTCCACGGGGTTGGAATTATGTGCTTTGTTGATATATTGATAAACTTTTAAAAAAAGAGAGAGAGAGAAGGAGGAAGTAAGGTAAATAGGAGGAAGAATATAAAAAGAAAAAAGAGAAAAAGAGAAGAAGGAGGAAAAGAAAAAGAGGAGTAGGAGGAAAAAGAGAAAAAGAAAAGTAGGAGGAAGAAAAGAAAAAAGAGTAAGAAGAGGGCGAAGAAAAGGAAAAATCGTAAGAGAAGGACGGAAAGAAAAGGAATAGGAGAAGGAAGAGGAGAGCGAATAAGAGAGCGAATAAGAAAGAGAGAGAGAGAGAGAGAGAGAGAGAAAGAGTAGCTGAGATGGGAGAGAAGAGGAGGATAAACGGAATAATGGAGTGGGGAGAAGAGGTAGCTAAAAGGTTGAATGGTGACTAAAACGAAGAGAGAAAAAGAGAGGAGGAGAAAAGAGATTAGAGAAGGAGAATGAAGGTAGAGGGAAAGAAGAGATGTGGGAAGAGTAGAGAAAGAGAAATACAGAGGGAAAAGATGAGCAAACAAAAATAAATAAAAATGAAAAGGAAGAATAAACATTTGAGTAACTTTAAAAAGGAAAAAGAAAAAAGTAAAAAAGAAAAAGGGGAGATGAAGAAAAAGAATAAATGAGAAAAAGAAAAAAGAAAAAGAAAAAAAGAGAAAAGAAAAAGAAAAGAAAGAAAAAGAGAAAAGAAAAAGAAAAAGAAAAAAAGAAGAAATCGAAAAAGAAGAGAGAAAACAGAAGAGAGGGTGGAGATGATCGAAGAAAAAGAAACGGATAAGAGAATAAACGAAGAGTGGGAGGGAATTGGAGAAAATGAAGGAGAGAAGAGGGGAAAAGAACTCAGAAAAGGAGGGAGAGAGAATAAGTAGAGAGAATTGGGGGGAGAAAAAGCAAGAAAGAGATGTAAAAAGGAGGAAAGGAAAATGAAGAGAAAGTCCGAGAGAGAATTGAAGACAGAGGAGAGAAGTGTGTAAGGAGAGAAATCAAAGAAAGGAAGGAAAATATGAAATTGAGAGGGTCTTGAGAAGAACTGGAAAAAGCTGAGGAGAGAAGAATGAACATTTGAAAAGGGGGAATAGACTTGTGAGTGGGGGAGGGATTTGAAAAAGTAAATGTAGAGAAGAGTTTCAAGAGAAGAAGGAAGAGAATTGTGGAGGGGGGGAGAGCAGAAATCTGAATAGGTCAATGACGAAATGAAGGGAGAGTTATGAAGGGAACTGGAAAAAAAGACGGGGAGAGAGAATTGTGAAGGTTACGGGAGAAATCGGGACTGGAAGGAGAGAGAATAAAGAGAGGGTCAAAGAGAGAATTGAGAAAGCAGAGGGAAGAAGAGGGGAAAGGTCAAAAGAGAGATCGAAAAAGAAGAAAGAGAAAAGAAAAATGAGTCGAAATGATAATTGGAAATGGAAGGGAAGAACTGAGTGAGTAGAAGATAGATTGGAACTAAAATGAGAGATAATAAAGGGAGGGTCAAAGAGAGAATTGAGAAAGCCGAGGGAAGAAGAGGGGAAAGGTCAAAAGAGAGATCGAAAAAGAAGAAAGAGAAAAGAAAAATGAGTCGAAATGAGAATTAGAAACGGAATGGAAGTATTGAGAGAGTAGAAGTGAGATCGGAACTTGAAGGCAGCGTCTGTCATGGAGATATTTGTAGAAAGCACGTGAGAAATCTGAAAAGGAGCTAAATAAAATATAGAGGGGGGTAGGGAGGGAATTGTAGAAGGCAGAAGAATATCAAAGCTATTCGAGAGATCGGAACAAGAGGGAAATAAAATAAAGGGAGATAATTGTAGCTAACAGGGGTGAGATCTTAAAAGGAAGAAGTGTCAGTGCAAGAAGAGTCACAAAAAGAATTGGAAAAAGCAGATGAGAGAAGTGTGTAAAATGTATAGGAGAGTTCGGAGAAGAAAATGGAAGAGACGCTCGTTCCGAATTGGAGATAAGGTTGGTGAGAAGTGTGGAAGATTCAGAGGCGAGATCCGAAAATAAGAAAAAGAGAGTTATGGGAGAATTGGAATTGGAAAAAAAGAGGAAAGAAGAGTGAAAATGATAGAAGAGAGATCGAAAATGAAGGAAGACGCAAGGAGAGAGAAGTTCAAGACAGTTGGAGAAAAGCGAAGAGAGAACAGTTAAAAGGTCAGAGGAAAGCTCATGGAGAAAATCAGAGAAAGCAGATGTGGAGAGTTTGAAGGGTAGAGGAGAGATCGGAACAGGAGTAGGAGTAGGAGAGAAGGAAGAGAGAATCTGGTACAGAAATGGAGGAAGAGGAGAAGAATGCATGGAAAATTCAGAGTAAAGCTGTAAAAAGAGGGAAATAAAAAGGAAGAGAGAGATTTAGAGAGAATTGGAGAAGGCAGAGGAGAAAAGAGTGTGAAGGGCTGAGGAGTGTTGGAGTGATAGCAATGTTAGGGAAACAAAGGAGAGATCTGAAGAGGAGGAAGAGAAGATAAAGGAGGAGTTGTGGAGTGAATAGGAAAGGCAGACGAGAGAAGAGTGTCAAGTGTGGAATTGAGGTCGGAGTGAGAATGAACGAAAAGTCATGGAGAAGAAGACGGAGGTGGAGACTGGAAAGGGCAGAGGAGAGATATAAAAAGTAAGAGATAAAGTGAACAGAGAATCAAAATGAGGAAGCGGAGAAGAAAAAGAGAGGGAGATAGAACAGGAGGAAGAGGAAGGCGGAGCGAGACCAATAGAAAACGAGTATAGAATAGGAGGGAGAAAGAATAGAACGTATGAAAGGAATGATTATGGGCACAGATAAGAGAAGGTGACAATGAAAAAGAGGGCGGAGGAAGAGGCAAGAATAAAGAAGGGGGAGTATTGAAAGAAACAGAAGAGGAGGTAGAGGAAAATATCGGAGGAGGAGGAAGAGGAGAAGAGAATATAGAAAAAACAGATGAGTAAAGGAGAAGAAAGAACGAAGGACGAAGAGGAGGAGAAGAGAATGAATAATGAGCAGAACGCGAGATCAGAGTAAATGAAGGACGGAGGAGAAAGAAAGATAAAGAAGAGAGGGGTGAGGGAATTAAGTGTGAGGAAGAGGAGAGTAATTAAGGTAGTAGGCGTCGTAGTAATAAAAATGGCTTGGTCGTCGCTTTGTATTCGGCGTTGAAGAAAGAGACACAGGCAGAAAAGTAACGGTGTTAATATCAGCTATCACAGATAACGGAGAAGCAAGCAGTGTGAAGAGGTGGAGACAGGCGACAGGGCACTTAAGGAGACCCTTAATGGATTTGTAAACGAGTACAGTTGGATGAGCAGACAGTGACGACGATGACGACGACGACGGTCACGAGGAAAAAAAGAGAGGCGACAGACCACTGGAAAGGAAATGTGTTGAATGTTCTCGTGTGGTGGCACGTGTCCGTCAGTGTGCTTGCTAGCACCATTCTCTCTCTCGAAAGGCTAACTGGTCGCGCGTGGGTTCGTGAATTAATGTCTATCTAGCAGCATCAGCATACGCCTCTTTTAGTTACGTAGGTTTTGAGAAAAAAGGAAAAAAAAAAAAAACAATACAGTCGTGCCCATAACTGTTAGAGCACCGGGAATGGGTTCGATACCGACATATTGTAGATTAAAACGAATCCAATTCAATAGGAGGGAAGACAACGATACAAGCAATAAAAAGAAAAGCAATACAGTCGTTCCCATAACTGTTGGAGCACCAGGAATTGGCTCGATATCAACATATTGTAGATTAAAATGAATCAAATGAAATAGGAGAAAAGACAACAATACAAACAAAGAAAAACATTACAGTCGTACCTATAATTGTTGGAGCACCGGGAATGGCTCGATGTCGCCATCTTGGATAGTAAAACGATTCCAATGCAATACAGGAAAAGACATCGATACCAGAGACTAAGAATGTTCTGAAGTGTTGAGTAAACTCCAATTACTGTTTGCATGATTGATTGTTTCGTTTCCCACGGCTTATCAACACTTTACAGGTTATTTAAAGCCAGAAAATAGTTTTAGATTGTAAGATTGTTTTGGGGGATAATACTGATTTAGCGATACAAGTCTTACTAATTCACTCATAGATGGGGGTAGAAAAGGTGGATTCGTATCCTTACCAATGGTATTTGTGCATAAGTGAATAATACGAACCGAACGGGAATTGGACCTCGGCACTTCGATTAACAATTCTGTGCCATTATCGATTACACCACCCACACATACAAGCTTACACAACCCTGTGTTCCAAAGTGGACGCAGGTTCAATCCATACCGGGGAACGTATTTTCTTTACTAAGGTTTCTTGAATGTTCCGGTTTACACTAAATTTAAAAAAAGTAGACAGAGCTCCGGTTTACCCTAGATTCAAACAGGTAGACAGAGGTCCGGTTTACACTAGATTCAAACAGGTAGACATAGGCTCGGTTTACACTAGATTCAAACAGACAGGGGTCCGGTTTACACTAAATTCAAACAGACAGAGATCCTGTTTACATTAGATTTAAACAGGTACACAGTAGTTCGGGTTACGCTAGATTCAAACAGTTACACAGAGGTTCAGTTTACACTAGATTCAAACAGGTAGATATAGGCCCGGTTTACACTAGATTGAAACAGACAGGGGTCCGGTTTACATTAGATTCAAACAGGTACAGAATGGTCCGGGTTACGCTAGATCCCAAAAGTTAGACAGAGGTCCAGTTTACACTAGATTCAAACAGGTAAACAGAGATCCAGTTTACACTAGCTTCAAACAGGTAGACAGAGGTCGGGTTTACACTAGATTCAAACAGACAGAAGTCTGGTTTACACTCGATCCAAACAGGTAGACAGAGGCCCGGTTTACACTAGATTCAAACACGTAGTCAGAGGTACGGTTTACACTAGATTCAAACGGGTAAACAGAGGCCAGGCTTACACTAGAACCAAAATGGTAGAGATAGATCCAGTTTGCACAAGATTCAATAAGGTATACATAGGTTTGGTTTACATTATATTTAAAAACGTAGAACTTGTTCCGGTTAAAACTAGATTCAAACATACAGGGGTCTAGGTTACATTAGATTTAAACAGGTACACAGTGGTTCAGTTTACACTAAATCCAATCAGTTAGACAGAGGTCTAGTTTGCACTAGATTCAAACAGATGTTCGTAGTAGTTTTTTCTCGACCTGTAACACTTCTGGTCCTAGAATTTCGCAATCAGTTTATGAAATGTTTAATGCAATTTTTTTACCATGTGTCCTAGTGAATTCTGTTGCCATATTTCGAGAGCTTCCTTGTCCGGCTACCAACATAATTTAAATACGTGCGTCTTTAGACAAAGTCTTTCTCCTATGGTGTCTGAAAAAAAATTAGATACTATATATCTAACGCTATTGTTTTAATGCTTTGTAAAAATGATAAAAATATTCATTTTTTACGGTTGATTAAATAATGTGGTAGGAGACGACAGAAAATGTGAGATAGATGTCCAAAGACGCATAGGTGTAATGAAAGAAGTCTCGCTGAAACTAAGCAAAGTATGAAGACATCGGAAAATATCCCTAGAAACACAAAAAGTGTGCTGAACTGCTATATACCATATTTAATAAGTAAATGATGGACAACAGATGAAGAAGAGACTTGAAGCTACAGAGATGTGATTTTGCCGATGAATGCTAAGAAGAGCGTGGCTAAAAGATGTGACTATTTTTTTTTACTATAATATTCACCCTGTACAAGGCCCAAAAGCCACTCGAGGTAGTGGGTTACAGAGTAAGAGGCACCAAGAGAAGGTATTAAGTAGAATGGAAACAAGAACGAAACTTATGCTTACAATCAGAAATAGACAGCTGAAACCTCAGCGGCACACAACGAGGAAAGTGGGCCTAGAGAATTTAACACTCACAGGACACAGTGAAGGCTAGAGAAGCACGAGGTAATGGATGGCACATTGGGGACAAAGAGATTTTCATATAGAAATAATAGCTTAACGAGGAAAGGTTGAAACGTCAGGGCACGGTGAAATAAATTCCCGGACAACAAGAATCAACACTTCAAATCTGCCCATGTCATTTTTGATTTGTAAATTGTCGACTTCGATAACTATCGTAAATTTTCAATATGGTATATATATATATATATATATATATATATATATATACAGTGCTGTTCGATAAAAGTGACTCATCTGATTTTTTTTTATTAAATGTTCTCTTCTCCGATGAAACGAAAGTTGAGCTAAATTCAAAGGATAAGCGATCTAAAATCCGAAGAAGAAGCTTTGAAAGCTCTTTGAATTTAGCAGTAAGTACTGTCAAGCATCCGTTTAGTATAATGTTCTGGGGATGCTTTTCTTTTCATGGAACTGGTTTCTTAAAACCCATTGAAAAGACCCTCAGGAGCGAGCAGTACAAGAGAATTTTACAGTCTTGTCTGCTCCCTTCTGCTGAAAGGGTGCAAATCGACCCCACCAAGCTCATTTTTATGCAAGATAATGCTCCCTGTCACAAATCAAAATTGATGAAGGAATACTTTGATATGATGTGAGTGTTATGACATGGGCGCCCCAATCTCCTGACCTCAACCGCATAGAAAACTTATGGAGAATGTTGCTCAACTGCTTTCTCGAGAGCCTGTACTTTATAATGCTCCATGAGTTTTCCTATGGGGTTGAGGTCAGGAGATTTGGGCACCCATGTCATAACACCCACCTGCTTCTCATCACTTTTATCGAACAGCACTATATATATATATATATATATATATATATATATATATATATTTGTTGACAAATTTTGACAAATGTGGACACAATTATTTCACTCTGTCGCCATTCTGCCTCTCCTATGTTTTCTTTATCCTTCTACACACCATCTTAAAATGTACCTATTTTTTTTTTTCAAATAGAAAAAAAAGGTAGTGATGTTCCACGCGACCTGCTTACAAATAAAACTGTTCATAACCATTTTGATTCTCACCAGTCGAGGTGCAACTAAATGCACCAAAAACAAAAGTTGCATCTTTGTCGTGAGTAAATTGTTTTTGTCTATATGAAAAAATTATAATATATATATATATATATATATATATATATAATTATTTATTTAAAATTTATATATATATATATATATATATATATATATATATATATATATATATATATATATATATATATATATATTGAAACAAATTTATATATCTATATATATAGTGGGGGAAAACAAATATTCGTACACATACACATTTTTAATTTATTGTATTTCCAACTAATGAATAAACATACTTTTCATATAATTAACTGCACACAGATGCATAATAACTAAATATTCATAGAAAACGGAAAAAATGATTTAATAGAAATAAATCCCTTTTATCCATTTTAATGGGTGAAAAAAGTATTCGTACAAGACAAAAAAAGAATACGTAATCTTCATTTAATACTTTGCAGAATGGCCGTTATTCACCTCTGCAGCAACCAACCTCTTGTTGTAGTTCTCAATGATTTGCAAATTTTAGTTGGTATTTTGATCCATTCTTCTTCGCATATGGTCTTCAGATCCGGTGTGTTTGTTAGAGCTCTTGATTGGATTTTAATTTTCAAATAACGCCAGAGATTTTCAATTGATTTTAAATCTGGGGACTGATTTGACTGATTTCAGAATATTTACATTATTTTCAGCAAGCTATTTCTTCATAGATTTTGCAATGTGATTAGGATCATTATCTTGTTGGAAGATTCAATCAGATAGAAGATCAAGTTTAGCAACCGAAATTATTAAATCTGCTTCCAAAATATTTTGATATGCTGCAGCATTTATTCTACCATAAATTACTGATATGTTGCCAGTACATTTTGCAGAAAAAAGCCCCAAACCATGATACTGCCACGACCAAATTTTACTGTTGGAATTGTGTTTTGTTTGAAGACATCGCCATCTTTCCTCCATACATGATTTCAAGAATTACGTCCAAACAACTCAGTTTTGGTCTCGTCTGTCAATAATACTCTTTCCCAATACGATTTTTCCTTATCCGGGTGCTCACGAACGAATTTCACCCTGGCATCTCTGTGCCTTTTCAATAGCAGTGGAGTTTTCCGAGGGAAGCGTGACTTTAGATTGTTCCTATAAATTTCATTGCTTATTATTTAGTGATACAGATTCCGGATGAAAAGCAAATCATCTTACAACTCTTGACAAGTAACCATTAGATTTTGTTTAATTTGACGCATTAATTTCCTCGAAAATCTTATAGAAATCTTCCGTGGAGCACCCGTTCTTCTTTGGTTTTCAACAGTTTTTTTTTATACATTGCAATGAATGAACTAATGGTAGTAGATGGAATATTCAGGTTGTCTGAGATTTTCCTGTAACATTTACCTTCTTTCCAGAGCTTAACAATCAGTGCTTTTTGCGAATTTGTCAACTCTTTACTCCTTGCCATGATGA